CGTAATCAGCGACCACGAAAACCACCGAGTACTCATTTTGGTGTACTTAGCTCTAATTACTAAAATTTTGTCCGCCATATTGGATCCGCCATTTTGAATTTTGAAAAACTGACCTCGAATTCGTAATCAGCGACCCTGAAAACCCCCGATTACTCCCCCCGAAATCACTCGAAAATATACTAAAAGTGAAAAAGTACTTTGTTCAATAAATGTAGTGTAGAATTGTCATTTTTTATCCGATCGAGGTCTATAAAGGCTTAAAAGTTTCGTTATTAAATATATTATTAATAAAAAATTTAAAACTTGCCTTTTTTTGATTGTTTGACTTTGAAAAAATTAGCGAAAGTTAGACAAATGTCTAAAAATCATTAAAATTTGCTTGAAATTTGAACTTTGATCGACTGTAACTCTGACAATTTTAAATGGATTTTATTGAATGACCAATGGTTTGAAAGGTAATTTAATTATCTTTCAAATAGTGATTTATTTTTTACATTTGGATTAACTGCTTTCTCTACCGGTGACTTTAAGTGACGTCACACCTGGAAAATGCATAATTTGCTGTTACAAAAAAATTGCACGAGGGAAAAAAATTTAAAATATGATTTTCTTACTTAAAAAACACATATTAATGGAAAAAAATATGTTTTGTTCGAGTGACAAAAAAAAAAATTGAAATTTGTAAACCTGTGTAATATAAGTTTTTCATATTTTTTTTTTTCAGTAAAAGAGAAATTTTTTCAAATTACAAAAATTTTGCACTTTTTCCACTATTGTAAATTAGCAGCTGCTGATGTGGGGGATTGTTGGATTTAAAAATTTGAAGACTTCCGTTTCTATATGCTCGAGAGAGCGTTGAGGAATTTGTAAAAGCGCGCAAGCTGCGATTGTCTACAACTTAAAACGGCAATTAGTAAGGTACATGCGGACAAAAAAGGTTGTTTAAACGATGAACCATTCCGCTCAGAACCTTACCGGCGCCATCCGCTAACTTGTACAAATATTGAATTATGACCGCGCCTCCATCCAATCTATGTACCATACCGACAGGTTTGATTTTCTCTCTTTTTCTCTCTCTCTCTCTTGTTTCTTTTGATGTTTGACATGTGTGTACGCGGGTATTATGTATAGCTTCGTTTGCTTGGACACTTCAGAATGCCCTGTACCTGCATATATTTACAAAAAATGTCAAAAAAAAAACTCAGTAATTAAAAATTATTTTTCTCTCTCATGAATCAGAATTGTTTTTGAAAAAAAAAAAATAATCAAAATAAAAACTAATTGAAAACAAAATAATAAAAAATATTTCAATTTAATGGAAAAAAAAATTCTTTTAGACGAAAAATATTTTGACATAAACAAATAATCGTTTCATTTGATTAGAGATTTTTTTTTTTATGCAAATAAAAATGTTTTGTATTTCAAGGTGCACTTGTATGAATTTTTTTTTTTTTTCCATTTGACGGGGAAAAAATTAATGAAAAAATAGTTTTGGACGCATTTATAGAATGTGCTTTATATATATACACCGCGAGGCTATACGTCTACTGATGAATATTTTGAAATTCGCTTTGATGCCAATGAATGCTTATTCACCTCTTAATATTCTCATTTACGCTTTTCAAAAGTATTCGTAATTTTTTTTTTTTTTCTACTTTTTTTTTTTATTTATTGAATAAACATTTCGTCTGATTTCAAAGGAAAAATAAATGTAGTTCGATTATTTCGCCACAATGAAAATTTTATTTCACTAAAAAGAATATATATGTATATATGTGGGTGTGTATTGTGTGTGAATTTATCTTCAAATGGATACATATGGAAAGGCAGCTTTTCACTATAGTCATAAATGAAACATTGTATTCGTGCAAAAAAAAAAAAAAAATGCTTGCCCGCACACTTTTTTTTTCTATCAGAATTTTTGTATTTTTATGAATTTTTCATGAACAAATTCAAGTTCACAGTAGTGTGAAATATCAAGTTTTTTTTTTTTCACCAACAATATAGAACTAATTTTTTCCTATATTCTAATTTGCCCTACTGGTTTTTCGCAAACTTTTATTTATTTACTTTTTTCTGTTTTCTTTCTATTTTTTTTCGAATTTTTGTTTGTAATTTAATATAAAAAAATAAATAAGTCCTTCTTTAGTTTGTATAAAAATATTTAATTAAATTTTTATATATTTGATGACATTTTCAATTTACATATATTTGTTTTTTTTTTTTGAAAAAAATCACCGAGGATTAAATGACAATTTTATTTAAATTCTAATTGAAAGTATAAATGATGTAAATTATAGAAATTATTAAAGTCGTTAAAATGTTAAATGCACACACATTGGCGATATAAGTGTCGATCGTATTAAACACTTTTCTTTATGCTTCAGTGTAAAGTAATTCATAAATAACGACGCAATAAATAATCTGTCCTAAGGAGTGTAAATGTATTTTCAAATTGCAATTTTCAATGTTAGAAGTAGAATTAAATTGCAAACACACATATATATATATATATATATATATGTGTATTGAATCCGTAAAAGCTTCTACGACCTATTTATCTCGTGTCAGTGTACGATTTCAGTGTTACGTATTTTAACGATCAGCAAACACGCTATTCAGTTACATGGATTTCAAATTGTTCTTCCGTCGCTAAAGTGCTGATTTATGTATCTTTTAGCCCCCAGCTTTATTTTATTCTTTTTTTTTTGTTTTTGTTTAAAAAAAGAATAAATAAATAAACACTCGATTGTTGTCTCACGAATCGCGTGTTATTAATATCTCTTAATGGTTTGTTTCTGTTTATTGCTTAGGATAGAATTTTTATTTTTACACTTTGGAAAATTGCAATCGTATATATATAATTTGGAAACAGTTATGCATTTTAGTTGTTTTTTTTATTGAATATTTTGTTATGGTTATCAGTAGGAGATACAGAGAGGGGAGAAGATTATTTGTTTTCACTTTCCTCATTTCACTTCCTGGTTTCGATTTTCCAGTCTCTATACGGTTTTCACTTTTCCTTTTCTGTCTTCTATTACACACTGCCGACTTTTCACAATTCCGTTTCCTTTCATTTTTTTTTATAATCCCTACTTTACACTTTTTTTTACCTTTTTTATTATTTCCAAGTTCACTTCTTTTCAATTATTTATCTTTTTCTACTTACAATTTTTTTTTTTACTGTTTTTTGTTTCCTAATTCTACTTTCTGTATTCCTACTTTTTTATTTTCTGACCCCTACTTTTTCATTTCCTAATTCTACTTTCTGTATTCCCATTTTTTTAATTCCTGACTATTTTTTCATTTCTTAATTCTACTTTCTGTATTCCTGGTTTTCTATTTCCTAATTCTACTTTTTGTATTCCTACTTTTTAATTTCCTAATTTTTTATTTCCTAATTCTACTTTCTGTATTTCTACTTTTTTATTTCCGAATTCTACTTTCTGTATTCCTACTTTTTTGGTTTCTAATTCTTCTTTCTGTATTTCTACTTTTTTATTTCCTAATTCTACTTTTTGTATTCCTACTTTTTATTTCCTAATTCTACTTTTTGTATTCCTACTTTTTAATTTCTTAATTTTTTATTTCCTAATTCTACTTTCTGTATTTCTACTTTTTTATTTCCGAATTCTACTTTCTGTATTCCTACTTTTTTGGTTTCTAATTCTTCTTTCTGTATTTCTACTTTTTTATTTCCTAATTCTACTTTTTGTATTCCTACTTTTTTATTTCCTAATTCTACTTTTTGTATTCCTACTTTATTATTTCCTAATTCTACTTTTTGTATTCCTACTTTTTAATTTCCTAATTTTTTATTTCCTAATTCTACTTTCTGTATTTCTACTTTTTTATTTCCTAATTCTACTTTTTGTATTCCTACTTTTTAATTTCTTAATTTTTTATTTCCTAATTCTACTTTCTGTATTTCTACTTTTTTATTTCCTAATTCTACTTTCTGTATTCCTACTTTTTTATTTTCTGACCCCTACTTTTTCATTTCCTAATTCTGCTTTCTGTATTCTTAATTTTTTGTTTCCTAATTCTACTTTCTGTATTCCCATTTTTTTAATTCCTGACTATTTTTTCATTTCTTAATTCTACTTTCTGTATTCCTGGTTTTCTATTTCCTAATTCTACTTTTTGTATTCCTACTTTTTTATTTCGTAATTCTACTTTTTGTATTCCTACTTTTTAATTTCCTAATTCTATTTTTTGTATTCCTACTTTTTAATTTCCTAATTTTTTATTTCCTAATTCTACTTTCTGTATTTCTACTTTTTTATTTCCTAATTCTACTTTTTGTATTCCTACTTTTTAATTTCTTAATTTTTTATTTCCTAATTCTACTTTCTGTATTTCTACTTTTTTATTTCCTAATTCTACTTTCTGTATTCCTACTTTTTTGGTTTCTAATTCTTCTTTCTGTATTCCTGCTTTTTTGTTTCCTAATTCTACTTTTTTATTTCCTGATTCTACTTTCTGTATTCCTACTTTTTATTTTCAATTTCTAATTCTTTTTAATTATTTTGTACTTGAATCAATATTTTTTAATTATTAATTGATTTAGAATTATTCGTTACTTTAAAATCGCTATACATGCTTTGAAAACTAATTAAATTCGGAAAGAGAAAAATCGCACAGTCATGGAGAATCGAACCCCGGTCCTTGCTGTTGCAAATCCAGTGGGGAAGCCACCCAGCTACCTCAGGCGTTAATTCAGGCATGACAAATTTTACATATATACGGGACAATTTACTTCTCGTTTTCTTTTTCAAAAATCGAAATTATAAAAGTAAGGAAGTAGAAAACTAGAAAAAGGTATACATAATGAACCCTGAGATTTTCTAAATATATCGATTTGTAGCGCATCTAATTGAGAACTAGAAATATCGGAAATAAAGAAACAGATCACTTTTTTTTTTCTTTGAAAGAATGCTTTGTTAAATTGTAATTCGTATCCTGTCAATAATGAGAATTTTTTTTTTCTTTCTTTTCAGAGTGACCTTTAGAAATTAGTCATCAAAAAAATCATGTAATCTGCGTTGTCTGGATTTTTCGTATCATTGATGTGTGTCTGCGGTCCATGAAACAAATTGGTAAGTGAGTTTTGTATTTTTATATATATACATTTATATATATTCGTATCTCGTTTCATTCGCGAAGATATAAGGCTACAAGGCCGAAGGACGCAGATGGACAAAAACTACTGGAACGAGGTTAGGGTATATCTTTTCTGACCTGAGATATAGTATATCTATATATATATATATAGCTCTCGTGTGACTCGTGAGCGTCCGAGACGAACTCGGATTAGTCAAGGGCTGCGGGAGGCTGTGTACCACCCGGCATTTTTCGTCTGATCTATCCGTGCCGCGATCTTCGCGCAGATAGACCGAATCCAACACGGGAAAAAGAATTCCCCCAGCTGACACACGAACACGAATGGAAAATCGTTGTCGCATTGTGCGGTATATATTAATGTTAAAGAAAAGATTCTCTCCTGAAAACTACGTACATTTGCGGTTCATAAGAAAACAGAAAAAAAAAAAATAATTCTTTTCATTCATGCACTTCTTATTATATATATACTCAAGCGTATCGCGTTTTATTTTTTTGAGGTATCAAAGATCTATGATGCCCCTCACACCTGCTCTCTTGACGATACTTCCACATTTATTTATGCAGCCGGAGAATATTGCTTTCTTCTTTATCATGTGACGAAATTTTTACCTTGATTTTCAAACACCTTGCACGTTGATCGATTTTATTTTTCCTCCAATTCTTATGATGAATTGAAAAAATGAAATTTTGATTTTCTTCTTTCTTTCTTGTGGAGAAATATTGAAGGGGTCCTGGCAGGGCTTAAGTAGGGAAGCTCTAAATTCGTAGGAAACAGGGAACCCGATCGGGGCCACAGAAGAGCGCCCTACTTCAAGCCGATTAAAATCGAGTAAAACCGAAGCCCGACCAGGGCCTGATTTGACCCCGGTTTCCCTTCCTTATTGAAATTGCCATATTTGGGACAAAAATGGCTTGAAACGCCTCACCCAATAAGGGCCAGACCTGGGAAGCGTCAAAATGTGGCTTTATCTTGTGGTCCAAATCGGGAAAGGCCAATTTTATGGACGCCAGATTTGAACCAGGTTTGAGCCATGACAAATTTTCTACCCGGGCTGTTACAAACAGATCAGGGCCAGGTTTGCGAATTTCTACACGGGGTTTTTTTTTGTCTTCACAGGATATACAAAAACTACGAAAGTTTGCTGGAAAAATTTGCACAATAACTCGTGGAGAAATATTGAAAGGGTCCTGGCAGGGCCCAAGTCGGGAAGCTCCAAATTCGTAGAAAACAGAGAACCCTATCGGGGCCACAGAAGAAAGCCCTATTTCAGCCCGATTCAAATCGATTACAACCGGGGCCCGACCAGGGCCTGATTTGACCCCGGTTGGATTCCCTCCCTTATAGATATTGACATATTTGGCCCAAAAATGGCTTGAAACGCCTCACCCAATATGGGCCAGACCTGGGAAGCGTCAAAATGTGGCTTTATCTTGTGGTCCAAATCGGGTATGGCCAATTTTATGGACGCCAGATTTGAACCAGGTTTGAGCCATGACAAATTTTCTACCCGGGCTGTTACAAACAGATCAGGGCCAGGTTTGCGAATTTCTACACGGGGTTTTTTTTGTCTTCACAGGAAATACAAAAACTACGAAAGTTTGCTGGAAAAATTTGCACAATAACTCGTGGAGAAATATTGAAAGGGTCCTGGCAGGGCCCAAGTCGGGAAGCTCCAAATTCGTATGAAACAGGGAACCCTATCAAAGCCACAGAAGAAAGCCCTACTTCAGGCCGATTAAAATCGATTAAAACCGGGGCCCGACCAGGGCCTGGTTTGGCCCTGGTCGGATTCCCTCCTGTATAGAAATTGCCATATTTGGGCCAAAAATGGCTTGAAACGCCTCACTCAATATGGGCCAGACCTAGGAAGCGTTAAAATTTGGCTTTATCTTGTGGCACAAATCGGGTAAGGCCAATTTTATGGACGCCAGATTTGACCCAGGTTTGAGCCATGACAAAATTTATACCCGGGCTGTTACAAACAGATCAGGGCCAGGTTTGCGAATTTCTACACGGGGACAGAAGAGCGCCCTACTTCAAGCCGATTAAAATCGATTAAAACCGGGGCCTGACCAGGGCCTGACCAGGGCCTGGCTTGGCCCCGGTTCCCTGTTTCAACCAGGTCAGAGCCAGGATAGCGAATTTCTGCACAGTAAGAATAAAACCCGGGTAGAAATATTGTCATGGCCCAAACCGGGGTCAAACCTGGCGTCAATAAAATTCGCATATTTAATTGACTTAAATAGTAAATATTTGATAACAGTCAAGTTATTATTTAAAGTAAATAAATTTTTTCTGTAATAAATTAAATAATTTTTATTATAATTGAATTTTAATTATTTAAAAAATTAAAGATAAATTTTAAAAAGAAATATTTCTCTTGAATGAACATTTGTTTAATTTTTGCTGAAAGGAGAGAAGATTGAGGAGATTTTCTTAGTGTCGCTATATGGTTAGACTTTCTGTTTTTCGATGCGTCCTAAAAAGACAATGACGTCGAACTTCTTTTATATATAATGAAAGAGATTATATTTTTACGACAATGTTACGTTTTTTGTGGTTGCGTCCCTAAAGGCTATATATATTGGAAGCCAAAAGGAAGAATTTCTATTTTCGCTTTGCCCCAGTGTATAACCCCGTAATTATGTCCATTAGTCAGAGAATATATATATATATATATATATATATATATATATATATATATATATATATACCGTTAACATCACTTTATTTTCTACTGATTAGTTTTCAAAAAATTTTTACAAAAAAATACATCTCTTAAAGTGAAGATGATGAGGGAAATCGTTTTCAAACGAGTCGGTAATTACTTTCAAAATAGTGTCGCGCGCGTGAGTTAAAAACAATTTTTAATGATAATTTGTGTAGGTATAATTATATATACTTATTTTTCCATAAGTTAAAACATTTCTTTTTTAAGTTTTTAAATTTCTCTTTATTTTAATCCCATTTTTTCGTTAATTATCCTTAGTTAAGTTAATTTAATTTCATATTAAATAAAAATTTTATATATTTTTTTTCGGTGAATTTTATTTTGATTTCAAATATTGGTCAATTTTTTATTTTCTAACCACCTTTTTTTGAGAATCTATATTAGTGACATACGACGTCTTTGACCTTTTTTTTTTTTGTGATGCGAGAAAAGCGCACATAGGTCGACGGCGCAATCGAGCAGGAAGCTCTTCTCAAATCCGTATAGACTTTTTCGATCAACTTTCTTTTTTTTTTCTTTTTTTTTCGGTGAGATCCTCTCTTTGAACCATTCGGCAAAGGATATCTTTTCATCTCGTAAATTCGATTTATTACATCTGAAAACCGCGACTGTGTGCGAACTCGGAAACATGTCCTTGAACGCGCGAGATGAACTTTAATTGGAATTCAGCCAAGAGTATCGAAACCATATATATTGTATATAGTGTTTAATGATTGATTAACAATGTAATTTATCGAGTCATTTTTAGTCACACATTCGGAATTTATTGAAAAAAAAGCGTATATCAATAATAATTTATTAGTGGATGAAATATATATTTATTGGAGGAACTTTTGGAAATTTTGTTTTTAAGGAAAAATATTCATATGAAGCCTTTTTAAACTCATGCAGAAATTCGCTAACTTGGCCCTGACCTGGTTTGAAACAGGGAACCGGGGCCAAACTAGGCCCTGGTCAGGCCCCGGTTTTAATCGATTTTAATCGGCTTGCAGTAGGGCGCTCTTCTGTTCGGCCCCGATCGGGTTCCCTGTTTTATGCGAATTTGAAGCTTCCCAACTTGGGCCCTGCCAGGACCCTTTCAAAATTTCTGCACTGATTTCCAGGTCTGGCCCATATAGGGTGAGGCGTTTCAAGCCATTTTTGGGCCAAATATGGCTATTTCTATACGGGAGGGAATCCGACCGGGGTCAAATCAGGCCCTGGTGGGGTCCCGGTTGTAATCGATTTTAATCTGGCTGAAATAGGGCTTTTTCTGTGGCCCCGATAGGGTTCTCTGTTTTCTACGAATTTGGAGCTTCCCGACGTGGGCCCTACCAGGGCCCTTTCAAAATTTCTGCAATTATTTTCTTCTCCCGTGAAAAAGTTTTGCCAGGGCCCAGATCGGGGGTGGATCAGGCTGCCTTATTAGGAAATGAAACGCCGCGTCTGATGTGGCTCTGATTAGGAAATATAAATTTTCCGGTCGCCCTGATTTGGCTCTGATCAGATGTGGTGTTTCATTCCCTACTAGGGCCCTGGTAGGGCAATTACTACACGGGCTTCTTATGGGAATATTTATACCTATAATATAGTAATTTCGATTAAATGCCAACTAGGTTCATTCTCTCTTTATTGGGGTTAATCTTTTGTATATTTAAAAATGAATAGATTTTTGTTGAAAAAATAAATGAAATTGAAATTTTGAAATTTTATGCGGGCTTTTATATATATACATATGTTGTTCTCAATATTGTGTGTAGCATAAATTTTTATATATAGGGAGAGATAGGCAGTGGCCTTTTGTATATAGCCTTGACCAATGTGTGTATATGTGTGTTCGAAGATTCCTTGAACTGCGGCAGCCCTTCTCAACTCACAGATATGTGACGGACGGCTGCGAGGTTGATTAAACGATGAATAATGTGCCACTTGACGGGTTAATAAATATACCGTGGATGCAAGCAACAAAAATATAAGACAGGACAGCGAATGAGTTAAAAACTTGACAAACTCACACGGTTCTGAATATCTTCTTCCAAGTACGCGTATACATATATATATATTTATAAATATATATATATATATATATAAGCGCAAAGAACAAGCAAAATACCAAACGATGTTTTTCTCGACAATAATAGTCTTGGATTTCTTTTGTTTTGATAGCGCAAAGCGAACTTTCTCAGTATATATAAGATAACCAGTTTGCAACTTATCGACAGGATTTCCTGAACTCCAGTGTCATGTGAATGACAATTAGAATT